TATGGATACAGTACTGGCAGGATTGAAGTGGCAGACTTGCCTTGTGTACTTGGACGACGTCGTCATGTTTTCCTCGAGTTCCGACGAGCATCTTCGGCGGCTTGAAGCTGTACTTCAAGCCATCAAGACGTCCGCACTCGCACTGAAGCCAGAAAAGTGCAGATTTGCGTACGAGGAGCTCTTGTTTCTGGGGCACGTTATTAGCAAGTCTGGAGTTCGTCCCGATCCACGGAAAACAGCCGTCATCACCGACTTCCTGCCGCCCACTGACAAGAAGGCGGTGCGCCGATTTCTGGGCCTGTGCGCCTATTATAGGCGGTTCGTGAAAAAATTCGCCCGCATCGCCGATCCTCTTACTAACCTTACCAAGGCCGACGTGGAGTTTAAGTGGGAAACGCCGCAGGAACACGCTTTCCAGGAGCTTAAACATCGCCTCCAGACGCCTTCGTTACTTGCCCATTTGGACGAATTTGCTGAGACAGAAATACGCACTGACGCAAGCAGCGTAGGCCTTGGCGCCGTTCTTGTGCAGAGGGCTCACGGACTTGAAAGGTTATTAGTTACGCCAGCCGATCTCCATCCAAAGCAGAAGCCAATTATTCCACAACAGAAAAGGAGTGCCTCGCCATCATCTGGGCTACGTCGAAATTTCGCCCCTACCTCTACGGCAGGCCCTTCAAAGTTGTGAGCGACCACAACGCCTTGTGTTGGCTAGCCACCTTGAAGGACCCTTCAGATCGCCTCGCACGATGGAGCCCGAGACTTCAAGAATATGACATTACCGTCGTTTAGAAGTCCAGCAAGAAACACTCGGACGCCGACTGTCTCTCTCATGCGCCTATCGACCAACCACCACCCGACGACCCGGATGACGACTACTTGTTGGAAACGATAACTACCGACGACTTCGCTAAACGACAGCGGGTCGACCCAAAACTTAAGGCCCTAATAGAATACCTCGAAGACAGGACCGCCGAAGTCCCAAAGGTATTCAAGCGCGCACTTGCGTCATTCTTCTTGCGAAACGGTCTTCTCCAAAAGAAAAACTTTTCACTGCTCCGAGCCAAGTACCTCCTTGTGGTGCCGTCAGCTCTACGACCAGAACTCCTGCAGGCCCTGCACGACCATCCGACCGCAGGGCACCTCGGTGTTTCTCGCACGCTCGCGAGGATACAAAAAAAATACTACTTGCCACGTCTTACCACCGACGTCACTCGTTATGTGAGGACATGCCGGGACTGTCAGCAACGCAAGACACCGCCGACAATGCCAGCGGGACTTCTGCAGCCAATTGAACCACCTTGCCCACCTTTCCAACAGATTGGTCTGAACCTACTGGGGCCGTTCCCGACGTCGTCTTTCGGAAACAAGTGGATCGTGGTAGCTACCGACTACCTCACCCGCTACGCCGAGACAAAAGCCCTTCCCAAAGGCAGTGCATCCGAGGTAGCCAAGTTCTTTGTCAAAATTATCGTCCTACGTCACGGCGCCCCGGAGGTCCTTATCACCGACAGAGGAACTGCATTTACTGCAGTTTTACCTCAAGCGATCTTGGCATACAGCCAGACAAACCACCGCCGGACGACAGCGTACCACCCACAGACCAACGGCCTCACCGAGCGGCTTAACAAGACGATCACCGACATGCTGGCAATGTACGTCGATGTCGAACACAAGACGTGGCACGCCATTTTTCCGTACGTGACCTTCACATACAACACGGCTGTGCAGGAGACGACGCAGATATCTCCATACAAATTGGTCTATGAAAGGAGCCCAGCAACGACGCTCGATGCCATGTTACCCAACGTCACCGACGAAGAAAACCTCTATGTGAATGAGTACCTTCAACCCGCCGAAGAAGCCCGACAACTCTCGCGTCTCCGCATCAAGAATTAACAGACGACCGACAGCCGCCGTTACAATCTTCGACGACGCTTCGTGGAATACCAGCCCGGTGAAGGTGTTTGGGTATAGACGCCGATACGCCGACGTGGACTAAGTGAAAAGCTTCTGCGACGGTACTTCAAACCGTACAGGGTGGTTCGACGTCTCGGCCCACTTGATTACGAGGTTGTCCCCGACGGCATCACGACCTGAAGTCGTCCATGTCGCGCGCCTCAAGCAGTTTAATGCGCATTAACAAACTGAAACAGTGTTTTTTTTTGTATTATTATTGTATCGTAATTTATTCATTGTACTTACTTGCATTATTATTGTACTTTCATCTTTAATTAAAGCATCGGGACGATGCTTTTTCAGAGGGGGGCAATGCCACGTTCCATTTCTCAAGTTTTGTTATCGCCCCAAAACACTACACAATTCTCAGCGCAAAACGTGCGTGCAGTTTTCGAGAAGCTTCCGAACTTTAGTAGATCATTTAGATAAGATCACGCCCACACTGCGAACTGTACAGATTATTTTGGAACCTACGCCACCGCCAGCAATAACGCTAGAACATTCGATGGCAAGAGTATAAATGCCGACGCACTTCGCCGCTTGTCAGTAGTTGATCGACGGCCGACGCTTCGTTCGCCGCTATCAGTTCAAAACTGCTACTGTAATCGGACTTTCCGTTTACCGGGCACAGGTTCGCCCAAAGAAACGGTTAAATTCCAACACAAAGTCTCCTGTCTTCTCCACGTCACGACCCCGTGACAATATTGGAACCAAGTTGTGTGAGACTGTTCTGTTAAGATCCCACTCACGACACGAATGACTATTTCAAAGCTTACACAAGCACCGTTGATAACGCTAGAAGGTTTCAGGCAGTGATGCATAAAAGACTAAGTATTCTCTTAATAGTCAGATCAACAATTTCCGTCAGTACTAGGAGTTATTGTATAGCGAGCATTGCTGGTATTTAAACTCTCTTACTGGGCATGAGTGTGTCCATTAAAATTCCAATACCAGCTGTGTTTGCTTGTTTGCAATTACTACTGCAAAACAATATACTACTGCCATCAAATTCAGCGCAGCATAAGCTATGTTGCACCTACTTTTCTTGGCTATAGTTTTATCTGGAACCTCCCATCAACAGTGCTGCTATGGATATTAGCAAGTTTTGCTGTTGGCAGCAATTTAAGCTAATCGATTCCTAGCAGCCTTCTAGGCCGATCGGTTGTCAAAATACCAAATTAGACAAGGTGGCGTACTTAAGGGGAGATGCGGGTCGAAAAACCAGAGTTTTTTTCATTATTGCTGATTTTTTTATTTTCGCCTGTTTTGATAAGATTAGTACCTTTACTGTTACGAAAAAAAAAATAATACAGGTCAAGACTTGACTGGAAATGCCTTAAAATTGCGTCTAAAGAGCACAAGGTGCCTGTTAAAAGGTCGAAAGTCTGCAGTCTGAGCACCTTGCCACCGATAACGCGCCGCCACTCGCAATTGTTGATCGCATGAGTCGAAGAGTCGAGCCTCACTCTTCAAATAACAACAGTCTCTCGCTGATGCAGCGCAAGAAATAATAAAAAGAAGCACTCTTCTGCGCGTTTTTTGAGCGCCGTGACTGGCTTATCACGTGGTACGAATCGGGGAGTGCCATTGGCCGCTGCACGCCTGTATGTGCTAAGAAACCTATTTGCGGGGTCCATGTCTTGTCGAGCAACGCAGCTCAACAATGCTTTTCTCGTGTTTATCTCCATTATGAATGAAAAAAGGGATTGCTCGCAAGTGAAAGCGGTTGTGCAGCGCGCTCTGTAGGAATAGGCTACGAGCAGCTGGTCCGTTTGCGGCAGTTGTTCGCTTGCAAAAGCCAATGCATCAAAAGTCATTCACACCCGTCAGCCGAAAACTTCGTGATGCGGCAATGGATGATGTCAGCGCCAATCTTGAGAGGTCGAAAAAGCTCGCAGTGAGAGAACTTAGCAGGGACGATATTGCCATTATGTACGACGGTATGTGGCACAAACGTGGCTACAAAATGGCATGACGCTGGACTTAGTTTGAATTTCGCAGTCCTGTCGAACTTCTTCCTAGCTTGCAGCTGGCACAAGGCTCTACCAGAAGGAGCAGAAGTTTGGCAAGCGTTTCATGGCCCTGTCTGTGAGCAAAATGTCTGAGGAGTCTGCTCAAAAAAGCCAAGAGGGACAAACTCTAGGTGCTGGCGTATTATAGACGCAGTGGCCACTACAAGAAGAATTGTTCTTTTGGTGTGTAAATTTCATCTGATTTAACGATGTCTTTCATAAATAAAACTCAATTTTAACTTTAAAACTTGTTTTTCTCAAAACACGAATTTTGCCCTTTTTTTCAGTGTGCCCCTCCTTTTTCGGGCACTTCTAGTGCTCGGATCTGCATGAAATTTTGCCCAAATTTTTTCCAGAGTATGACAAATGCAATTATCTAGTATAAATTTCAATATTTCATTCTATAATGAAAATTGTATGTATACCTTTACTAGGGTAGGCAAAATATGGACTTTTTACCTTTATTATTTTTCACGCGTACTACATATTTTGTATGTGCTTCCTAATTAGTTATTTGCACTCTACACTTTATTTGAAGCAACATGAACTATGAATGGTAAAAGATTACAAAAGTTTAGGGATGAAAAGAGGGGGGCAAAAGGGTTAAAGTTTTCACTTTGTCATGTTGCAGAGCTAAAAGTGTGTAACTTGCAAGAAAACTAATATATTTCGAATCAGCATAAAAAGTTCCATAAACAGCTCAAGTTTCATCGCTCTAGGGTGAATATTAAAAAAAAAAAGTGTCTTAGAGTAGCATCTCCCCTTAAACTGTGTCCAGAATAGCACCCCCAAAATCTTCAACAAAGCATAATCGTGATCCGTTTCCATTTTTTTTAAACAACTTGTAATTTGGAGGATTACAACTGGTTCAGCAGACCACAGCATGCGAAAATGGCACTGTGGTGCAGACGTGCGGCTCCCAAACCACTTAGGGCAACTGCATTGCACTTGGCTCGGCTGTGATGCCTCTCTCACTTTTTTTTCTTGTTGCTGAGCATAACTTGTTTGAGGGAGGGAAGAAGCGCTCACCCTGCTGGTGCTCTGCTGGCTCAGCTGCTCCTTCTCACCGCTCATGCCCTTGATGCGCTCTTCAAGGTCGTGCAGGCGACCCTGCAGATCCCAGGGCTTTCGCTTGCCAGCCGTGGATGCTGACAGGGCCCCATTGGAGGCTGAAAACACAGAGCCCCCTCTACATTACAGCTTGTGCCACAATCTGCCTGGTCACTTAGTGTCATGATAACTTCAGTTTAAACGCACAAATGACTGCAGACATGACTAATCAGTTCAAAAAGGGTGCGTCCTCGCCTTTTTACTGTGCTAATTAACTATGCCTGAAGCCAATTCGCACCTCGGCTCACATACTGTTTTTGCATTCCACTGAACCGAAAACTGAACCTGCAGGCGGTGCTATGCAAGTGCCATTCATTCTTTGGTTGTAGACACTTTCTAGTTAAAAAACTCTTTTGCACTGGTAAACAAAAACGCTGCTTCCAGTAGCACTTACCTGGAGTGAAAAGTGACCCAGAACATTAAAGTGAATGTTTTCGAGAATGGAGGATGCTGACACACCGAAAGAAGAAAGTGCTTTTTCACAAGCACCTCATTAGCTGCCAAGCCACACTGCTGCGTCACTATTCACTCACAGGGCAGTCTATTGCCCAAAAGTGAAACCAATGATGCCAACTAATCTGCTGGACATGCCTGTGATGTGGCCTAAACGACATTTACAGGAGGTGACAGCGTCCCCAGAACCTTCAAGCCTCCATTGAACGTCAAAAGTGGCACCACTGCTTCAGAGAAGCCTCCCAAGACCAGATTTTGCAGTAACTTCGAAGAGAAGACAGTCTGGCCGCAGTTAAAAGAATCACATTTGCATGTCGGCATTGTTAAAAAACAGCCAAGTGAGGAAAGCAAGAAAATGTGCAATACAGAACAAGGAAAAGGAACTGAGGAGAGTGCCAGCCCAGCCCACAAACTGGGAGAAAACTCATGGTGGACGTTTGCACTGGGGAAGAGAGGCTACATTGCCCCATGCTGGGGGTGTGCTCCGCAGGTCACAAATCGAGACTGTGTCCATTCTTGAACTAGCTCCCCAGTGTTCTCCCGGCGGTCATTGTACTCTGCAACTTCCATGAGGCCTGTTGCTGTGTGCGAGGCACTAACTAGTTCCACCTTAATGGTCTGTCTGTGGTGCTGAAGCACAAGTGCACAAATATTTTATACCTTCACTTGTTCCTTACTAGAACATGTTGTTAGACTAGTTGGCTCACACTGAAGAAATATTAAATATGCAACCCAAATAGACGAAAAAAGAAAGGGCACAGGATAGGGCGTTAGCCTGCAACTATTTGAGAAAAAAATAAAGCTCCTTTTTATATGCATGCAGACATGCACGCAGTTACAGTTGGGAAGGTCATGGGCAAATTATTCGATGCTTAAGACATCATGAAAGGAAAACAAAAAAAACAGCTTCAGATTTATGCAGGGTGACAGACATGTCACACAGACATGTCACACATCTAACTTAATATTGATGAAATGAGCCTTTAAAAGTCGAGGTGCCACAGCGTTCTTGCTCTTTCGAAGTATACAACCTAGTGCACACACGCAGAATTCACAGTGCATGGGTAAGTGGGCACTCATCTCATTTTTATTTGAAACCTCGTGCTCTGTTGGCCCCTCATTAATGCAGTGTATGGCCAGATGGACACTGCGTTTTAATTGGCAGAGTTAAGCAGAATTCAAGTCCTTCATATGAAGAGCCAAATGCAACTTTGAGATTTCGAAAAAGCGGCCTCCAGTAATTATTGTGGCAAAATAAAATACGGGCCGATTCAACAGTGAAATCATAACACCAATTAGTGTAACAAGCAGGTGACTAGAATAACGCCACAGTTCAAGACAACATTTGCAGAGCAGTGGTCCCTGGTTAGGTAACTGCATATGAGTCGTGTGCTTTTATTGAAAGCAAAGCCTACACAGCCACAAAATGAAGTCGTCTTGACTGTTAATTTAACAATGTTTAGTCATTCTGGGAGTCCTAGGTGAATATTCAGATAAATATTTCATTTAAAAATTTAAATATCCATCCTCTTCATCAACTAGTATTTCAGCTGAAGTTATCTATTGTGATGTGTCTGCTTTTCAGCTGTTATCTATTGTGATGTATCTGTAACGCGCATGCGCCACTGCCGTGTTTCATTTCGAAATGAACAGCTCGAGAAGACATTGCCCAGTAATACTGCGCTATGGTTTAGAAAAATAACTGTCTGAAGGCTACTCTGGCATAAAAAGCACTAAAAAATGGAGAGAAGTCTAGCAAAGCGGACTGCGCCTATGCATGCAGAATAGAAGAGACAGTGCTGTGTCGTGATGGCAGTTCCCTCATAAGTGTCCGCAAAGTGAGTTTGCGTTCGCGCTGCGGTGCTACTTTAAATGGGTTCATCTCTGCTTGCGACAAAGAAGCGGAAGCAGTTTTCGCTAAGCGAGGAGGTAGATGTTCTTCGGCAAAAGGAAGGCAAAAACAGGCTGTTGTGACCAAAGAACCGAATCTCACCACAAGAATGTAGATGAGCTGGAGGTTTTCGCGCTGCAAAGTTTGTGCTGCACAAGTTGGAAAAAAAAAACAGACTTATTTAAATTAAATGTGCATTTTTTGGCGTTCACTTGTGTGTTTGTTTTTTATCATAAAAAAAGTCCAGGGACCCATCGTTGTGAAGGTACGTCATTTTGGTTGGTGGAAAATAAGTATTTATGGTTAATTTTTGGGCTTTCACTATACCTTTCAAAATAGCGAAATTGCCACGGCGCCTTGAAGTTCATTATACCGAGATTTCACTCTATTGCTCTTTTGTTTTGTATTGTAATTTCCGATTGTTCTTCCGGCGTTACTTTTCCTTTCTCTCTGTTAAACATATACGTAAATTTGCTTTTGTATTTATTTTGGCACTGTTCATTTTCTTTCTCACCGAAGATACTGTAACCACTGAATGATGTACATCTTTCCCATTCACATCTGGTGTGGGAGCCTCTTGAACTCGCTTTTCTGTAAACTAACATTGTCAATGTTGAAGAAACTTGAACTTCAACACGGCAGTAGCGCTCTTCACGGTTTGTTTCACTGCTGAATTGGGGAGAATTTAATTATTTTGCAGTTATTACTAGAGGCTTTTTCAAAATCTCAAAGCTGCAATGGCTTCATTCACATGAAGGACTTCAGTTCTCCCATCTAACTTAACTGCCAATTTTGCTAATTAGAAAGTTTATTAATTAAACTTTCTTAATTACTGTCCCAAATAATGTCTTCAATCGTCTGGAGATGCCTGCCACTACAAAAAAAAGCAATTGTGAAGACAGCGAGCAAATAATACAATCTCCCGTTTATTTTTTAAGGGTATTGGACACATTTTGTGAAACACCCGGTATATGTCTCCCTCATGCAGAGTTTCGCCATTCTCTGGCAACATAGTGCGTGCACTGAAAACTCACCCTTTCCCATTTACTTGTCTTTAGGGGGTGTTAGCCAGTGTTGCTGGCCATGGCTGCTTGAGTTTTGACAATTCCTACCGACATAATTATTCTGATGAAGCACTCGTCACTGGCACTGTTGTGTGGTGCCAGGACGTGGTAAAGAAATAATGAGCTACCGCGAGTATAAAATTTTCACATACCAAGAAGAGCGTGTAGACTTATTCTGTCCACTTCATCTATGAGAAGCTAAACTCAACACGTACTCTAATGGCACAAAAGCGATGGCTAGTCGAAGGCACCCAATTATCTACAAAAAACATGACGGATGCAGTCGTCTTCTACCAATGACAGATGTGCTGATGCCTGAAGTGGATAGATTAACGTGAAAGCTCACTAACACCCAAAATACACCATAAAGGTGTTATTTGAAGTTGGGAGCCTTATCAGTGGTGTGTACTGCTCAAAAGAACAGTCCAAACACCAAAGCAGCTGCACTCGACATAATTTTCATACAATATACGTCACGGTGCCCACATTTTGCTGCCATCGCATTAGCCTTTCACAAGAGTGATGCCTGTAAGTGGGTTTGCATCTGTGCAAGTGAATGAGTAATCACCTGACTTCTGTGCCAGTAGACATCGTGTCACTCCGGCCAATTTATCTTTCAGTGAGAATGTAGGCCGCAAATGTAGGAAAGTTTGTAGTTTCATTAATCAATACTGTCCTCGTGAATGAACCATAGTAGTACGTAGTACGTGCGACTGCATTAGGTGATGTCGCAAAACAAGTATGTTGTGTCAGTCCCACCGAACAGTTTGGATAGCAATCAATTCAGTAGGCGCCAATCTCAAAAGTGCCCTGTGTGAAATATAAGTGCAGTGTAAGTGTTCATCGTAATGTTGCGAGCGAAGGTACATAGCAAGCTTGCGACTGTGACAGGAGGCACGTTTTTAACTCCAGTAGAAAAGCTGACAATTTTCCTATCCATAGACAAGCTAGCTCTTCTCACCACTGCAGTTTCTACTCATACCTCTCCCATGTGATGTTGTTGGACATCTTTATGTAGTTAGTAGACATCATTATAAACACACCTAAATGAATGTGCCAGAAATAATAGAGCAACAAAGCAAAATATGCCACACCAACACCATCTGGACCATTCAAAAAGAATTATCAGGAGTGCGCCGGAAGCCATCACGGGCAGACCGTTCAATGCATGCCAGTCTGTTTACAAATGGCCAAACCATTTAGAGGCCAAGAATTACCAAATGAACTGCCACGATTGTGTGCAGATTGACAAGCATGCTGCTCAATGTGTGTGTAAAGCAGCCATGCCAGAATGAAATGCAGTGGTGCTGAGTGGATAAGATGTCCGATTTTAAAATGAGCACTCTTTAAGCAAAAGTAAGTTTGTATTTTGGACACATGGCATTCGTTTGGGTGGACACGGTGGAAAAAAAAAAAGAGTGATGCTCTACAAATGCCAAGAACTGCAAAGGAGACAATGCCGATGTGCCCCTCTTATCTAACAGCAATGAATTGTGAAACAAAACAGTCACATCTATCATTATGTTTACACTCATGCAACAGTAGTTGCAGTGGCAGTACAGGGAGCGAATGTAGTTACTAGAGGCCTGACCCGCTTCTAAATTGCACCTGATTGAAACCAATAAAAAAAAGCTTTACTTAAAGTACAATACGCAGTACATATGAAACTTTCACATTACACCACAGAACGCTGACTGAACAAGCACTGGCAAATACGAAAGCACATTGGAACATCCACCAACGCACGTGGAAGCACTTTCAACACATTGTTAATTATTTTCTAGACTTGCGTAAACCCACCGGCATTGTAATGAAACCAAACAAATGTGAATGTATACAAAATGCAACCACTAAAGCCTGTCGGGTTGACCCAACAACCTGCATCCAATTGGGGCCAATCCTTTGAATCCCAGTTGACGGGACGGTTGACTCACCTTTTGGCCGTGCATTAGCACTATCCAAGCAGAGGGCGGATCCCACAACATTGCGCTGCAACCGGCCAAATGGCACTGGCGCGGCTGCACCTGGACGTGCCTTCTTGGGCTGGCTCGAAAGGGCCACCTGTGGCTATAGTAACAAATGATACACCAGTATAATATTCACACCTAACAACCGGTGACAATACTAGTATCCTACGTGTTGCAATTGAAGAATTCATTCAAACAAATAAACATGCTTGGCAAAGAAGTAACTGTCACTGGTCCATTTTCAGTTTCACCACGCAAAGCAATGTCCCCGAAATACTTTCAGAACCGGCACAAATAGAACCAGGTTCAGGCAATGCAATGTAACCCCACTAGCAACCTTCCAGTGACAATTTCATGCGATTGAGCAACTTCCGATATTCTTGCTTGAACACTGCTGATGGTTTCCGGAGTTCCACAGAAAGTGTTATGCTGTGTTAGCTGATGGTTTCTGAAGTTCCACAGAAGGTGTTATGCTGTGTTAAGACAAATGCTAACACTAAGGTACCGTAATTTCAACTGACGAAAAATTTTTACGAGAATTGTGCTGCCTAGAGTACTTAGTATCATTTTTACCATCTGGTTATCTAAAGAGAGCACAGCCACTTCTCAGTTGTGCTCCCTTTAGTGCTCTCTCGTTGAACGTGGTGCTGCCAGCACTGCTTTGCATTGCCAGTCTGAATCCACCATTAGGGCGATGAAAACGTGATTCGCACACAAAAGGGCACAATGGCAGTCGATGGATTCATGGACAGAATACGAAAAAAAAAACGTCCGGAATTTTAACAGGACGCGAGACAAGACAGAAGCAACGACAACAGCACTAACTTACAATTGATTTCATTTTTAAACATCTGGGCACATACCCAACTGAAAGTAAAAAAACAATGAAGAAAAACACTATCGACACCCGCATGTTTCGTCAACATATGTTACAGCTATGCGCGACAAGTATGTGCTGCTAATATCACCAAAGGTTCAAAACAATCTTTGTGAAAGAAATATGGCATGCTGACACAAATATATGGCATCTATCATTTCCATGGTCCTCTGATTGCTCTTTCTTTTTACAACTATTGTTTTGGCAAAGACTGGTTTGCAGAGCCAGAAGGAAAGGCCTGGATAGCCACTCTGTGTTGTAGTTATGCTAATTTATGCATGTTCACGCTTTTCCTATATTTCACTACAAGATAAAAGGATTGATTGAACGATATTTTCAACATTTTGATGCCTTCAATGGAACACAACTGTGGCTGGATTCTCATTTATTTTACATTGCATTGCAAATAACGTTTTAGGTGCACTGAATAACAGCTTTGCAGGAGTGGTCGCCTTTCTCAAGTTAAGCGCATTTTTTTTTTACTTGCATGGTTTACACCTGTCCACATAGGGAAATGTAAAAATAAAGCAGTGAGTCCTCTTGTCACTCCTATATCGTGTTCTGGGAATATTTTATGCTGTTTATTCCATGTTGCATCCAACCAGTCACTGCTTCAGCACTGGCAGAGTACAGTTTAATTACAACTTGCTAAAAACTGTGGGGATCTGAAGCGCGAAAAATGCCATTGCGCGGCAATTTTCACTGTACTGCCACTCCCTTGCCTCCTCCCATACTGTCGTGACAGCGCTTGGCAATTGATGGCACCCCGTGGTTGATGTGCTTAATCTTTGGCCGCAATAATGAGTCATGCCAGGGAAAGCTCTCCTCCCTCAGGCAGCGCCCAGTAAGCGTACGTTTTTCTTTCGTTCGCGTCCTCGTTGGAAACCGCCAGAATGTAGCCTGCCTGGTTGCCTCGGCAGGTGTGTTTATCTTTGTGTTAGCTCCAGTTGGATACAATAAGCCAAAGCGGTGCCTAGCACTCGAGCGTGGTCCTACTACCCTGACCTACGTGCATGAAGTTTGCCCTAGCTCCCTGGCCCAGCGATAATCCCGGGAGTGTGCAGCATAGCCACGAGGAATCTTTACCCGAGTGGTGTGTCAAAGCTGGCCATTGCCAGCTGCGATGTGCTCGCGGTTTTCCCTTGTTGGTGTACATACGTTTATGTACAGGAGCCCTTTGCTCACTATGTCCTGGGAGTGGACATTTTACTGTGTTTGGATGCGTCAAAGGCAATAAAGTGCGTATTATTATTAGTTCGAACACTGTCTTGCCACACACCGCTACATGCTTTGCTAGTCTAGTGCAAGCAGAGTGGTGAGCAGGCAACTGTATACGAGGCTTTGTGGCTCCCTACAGTGATCATTGCTATGTTGAGTATGGAGCTTATCACTAAAGTACACCATGTTCTGTAATGCAACCAAATTTCGCATAAAAGCAGCCCATCATGAAACAGTGTGCACGCTACTAGTGCACTAGATTCAGAGCGTTCAAACACTGCGTTCTTTCAGAATTTCACAGTCTGAAGCATTCTCAAGCATTAACACCAGAGCACAACTGGTGTCATGTGTCGAAAGTACATCACAGTTGAGCTACTTAGACTACGTGGAATTCTTTGTGCATCCTACATGATAACCACACCGATACATTCACCTCTGTCAAATGGAGCTGTTCAATATCAGCAAGCACTGCATGTGTACAGTGTTCCGATGTTTCAATCATCCAGCCCCCCTGTCAAGCGTCTGCACAGTGCAGCGTGTGGTGGCAGCAGAGAGCTCACCTTGTTTTCTTTGATGCAGGTAGTGCTGAAGCTCCTCCGCAGGCCATTGACGCTCACCCCTGCTGGCCGCTTGGAAGGAGAGCGCAGCTTTCGCATTGCACCTGCCTGCAATACCAGTGAGATGTGCAGGGCTGATTAATTCTGATCAATTACAACACGACGACATCTCATGAACAAGTACGAGACCTAATAATGCATGCTCATTCTAACGATAGGAATACAAGCATTTGCCTGCATCAGCCCTGAACGTTCTACATCTCTTAAACTAGGAATATTGAGAAAACACCAGCTTACAGATCAGGTCAAAGAGTATGCATGTCCATCTGCAGAGGAGCACATAACTGGGCTGGTTGGTACAGGACGGGAACTAACGGCACTGGACACGGGATGAAGAAAGAACAGCATTGTCGGCACCCTCATCAGTCGTTCCGTCTTCATCCTGTGTCCGACCCTATTGGTTGCCATCCTATTTGAAAGCTCAACTTTCTAGAGTCGATTTAAAACTATGCTGCTGGGTTCATTCAGGCTTTCTATTCAAGTAGCCACAGGTACATGGGAGAGACAGAAGCAAGTATACGACAACATTTACGAACAGCTGGGTCACAGGATGGCTCACAGCAGCTGCCATGGCACGCCACCTTTATGCAGCTGAGGGCTCATGCCAATGCCATACAGTGCTCTTTTCAAATACAGACAGCCTAGCTGTTTGGCGAGCCGTGCGGCTTCGAGAAACGACATCCCAGGCGGCTGGTATCAGAAGGAAGGAGGGCCACTAGTAATTCCATATGCCGCCCGGTTATCGTAAGGCTTTCGAACTCGAGAGACAAGTCCAATATTTGAAAAAAAAAAGGGATATAAATTAAAGAACTCAAATATTTCAATCGTTGATTTTTCTCTGAACATTCGGGATGTCAGACAAAAACTGTGGGCAAGTGCGAAGCCAAACCGAGAAAAGCATAAGAAGGTTACGTTATCATTTGACAAGTTGTACATTGGAGGGGTGGCATATGTCTGGCATGAAGAAAAAAATTATAAAGTACCAGTTAAAAAACGAGGCCCGAAAACCAATTCGCCCAATGACGAAGTCACACGCAAGTGTTGTCTTAGTTGGAGAAGCTAGCAAGGTTCAAGCAGCGCGAGAAGATCCCCTTTCACAGATAACGACAATAGTATTGCTCACATGTGTTCACCACAAAGCAGTTGCGTATCACCAACTTAATCGCCCGCAGTGTTATCAATAAGGCAGATTCATTAGAAATTCAGTTGCCCATACACGACCCTCATGTCACTATCATTACGGAGACATGATTACATGGTCAGGTAAAAGATGATCGTGTATTCCCACCGTGATATAAAGTTTCTCGTAGGGACAGAGTACATAGGGGAGGAGGTGTGGCTGTCCTTACTAAATAACCAATTGATGCAACACTTATTGATGAAAATCCTGATATCGAGTGTCTATGGATTCAATTGTCATGCTGGGAGCATTTCTTTGTATTGTTCACATGTTATGGACCACCAGACGCTACACCCGATTACATGATGTCTAAAAGAATACATGCCTCATTTTCGGCATATAAAAATTTTTCTCGTAGGCGATTTTAACCTGCCTAGTATTAACTGGGAACGTCTTCAGGCAGACTTAAAAAAGGACAGAAATGCTAACATTATCTTCGACCTTATGCTAGAACAAGATTTAATTCAAACAGTTAATGAACCTACCACTGTACAAGGTTTCTCTAGAAATATTCTTGACCTGCTATTTGTGAATCGTGACTTTTCGGAATGCATCGTTTCATTTGATGAAGGTCTGTCTGATCACAAACTTGTAAATGTTTCCTTGCCCATACTTACGCCTATTGTCTCTAAACGTACAAAGAAACATTGCTTCAAAAACTTTGCTAAAGCCGATGATGCAAGCATAATAGACTACATGGAAACGTGCCTTGGTGACTTCACTGATACCCAGAACGACGTATTGACGCTCAAAGCAATGTTCCTCAAAATGTGTCATCACTGCATAAATACATTTGTGCCTAACAAAACAAAGACGGTCAATAAACAAATGACGTGGACGACTCGTAACATATTGCAACTGAACCACAAACTAAAAAGAAGCAAAAAGAAGGGTCGCCCATCCCAACTTATCAGTGTTATAAAAAGCGAATTGTCATCAGCGGTTCGAAGTTCAAAGGATTACTATTTCAACATGCGGCTACCTGGTTTCATGAAAAGTGCACCCGAAAAATATTGGGGATATTTAGTTGAAGCTAAAAGACCTGTCTGAGATAATGGTCCATATAACCGCTACAAAAGACGTGAATAAAATCGCCAAACACTTTAACAATTACTTCCACAGCGTTTTTTCCCAGACAGGTATAGGTAACTTGTTTTATTCTACTGTTTTTGAAGCGCACGAAGAGGACTTTATTTCACAGAATGGTATTGTGTCAATGCTTTTAAACTTGAAGACAACGAAATCATGTGGCCCAGATGGTATCCCAAATATGTATCTTAAGCGCTATGCGGAATGTATTAATAGATTTCCTTTCATACTGATCAGAGCTTCTTTGTTGTCTACTCAGGTGCCCAAAGACGAGGACAGCTCGGGTAGTGCCAATTTTTAAAAAGGCCAATCGTTTATCTGTAGAAAATTATCGATCGATATCTTTAACTTCATCCTGCTATAAACTAATCAAACATATCATCACCAACCACATGACAAAATTTTTAGACAGAAATTCAGTGTTAACGAACTGCCAGCATGGAAACGCTACTCCACTACGACACAACTGTTAACTGTAATTCATAGTTTCCCAAGATCATTGGATAATAATGGTCAAATTGACGCTCTTTTTTTTTTATTCTTTAGCAAGGCATTCGACAGAGTAGTTCACTGTAAACTTATACAAAAACTCAAAAGATTACAATCTTCCTAGCATTGTAGTATCCTGGATAGCAGCTTTTCTTTCGGATCGCGTGCCGTTTGTCACTACTGAAGGCAACGACTCGAGCTGTCTAATAGTGACATCTGGAGCACTTCAGGGTAGCATCCTGGGGCCATTGTTGTTTTTGGTCTACATAAATTACATTGTCAACGTTGTTATACCTGGCACACAAATCAGATTGTTTGCAGATGATTGCATTTTATATCAGTAAATCACCATATCAGTAAAAACCAACCTCGAGATTAGTTTGCGCAACATACAGGTGTGGTGTGAAAGATCAGGCATGTCTTTAAGCTAAGAAAAACTGTCTTCGTATCACAAGGGAAAAAAAGCCCATTAAAATACACACACACTGGCTGCCTCACCGCTAAAAGAAGTTGAAAACTATAAATATCTGGGGGGTAACATTTTCAAACAACCTTTCGTGGAATTTACATATTAGTAATATATGTTCCTCAGCTTTCCGTAAACTGTTTCCTGAAACAAGCTTAAAAATTCACCCGCCCACATTAAACTACTGAGTTGCATTACTTTCATTAGACTGAAGTTATAGTATGCTAGCATTACATGGGATCCCTACACTAAGCACAACATTAAAATAATAGAGAAAGTTCAGAGAAAAGCTGTTCGCTTCATTTACTCTAAGTTCAAGCACACCGATTCCCCCACACAGCTGATGACAGAAAATGACATCCCTCTCCTCGAAACACGTAGGCAGATTCTCCGCCTCAATTTCCTACAATCACTCATTAAACGTGAATTATCCATCGACCCCGCATTATATGTAACACCTCTGTCCACAAGACGAACACATCACGATCACACACATGCTTTAACCCCTCAGTTTGCTAGGACAGATATCTACAAATACTCATTTTTTAGCAGGACAGTGTCGGAGTGAAACTCTAGGCATGAAATGAATGACCTTTTTTAAGTTACCACAATACCCACGTTAAGTTTTGTGTTTTGATTTTGTATGTTTTTTATGTTGTGTTTTCATTTTGTATGATTTTGTATTGATTGATATGTGGGGTTTAACGTCCCAAAATCACCATATGATTATAAGAGATGCCGTAGTGGAGGGCTCCCGAAATTTAGACCACCTGGGGTTCTTTAACGTGTGCCCAAATATGATTTTGTTTGTTAGAGTGGAGTTCTGGGCATATAATGAATGACCCTTTTTAAGTTACCACAATACAGGCATCAGGTATTGCGTTTCATTTTGTATGCTTTACTTCATTTTACTCCTGTTGTAATTACAGTACTACGATTTTTTTTCTTTTTTATCGTGTGCAGTCCGAATGCTTTTACTAAGTTGATGGTGAAAATTTGCGCATTCCTTGTACTCACTGTATTGATATTTTGGTATCGTATTTCTTTTTTGAGTGTACTATGAGTGCTCTTCCTGCAAGGACCGAATTCTGGTCTGCAGTATGTTATAAAATAAATAGATAAATAAGGAAGAACAGTGAACAGCAGCAGTACCACAGAATCAGAGTTGTAGGTAACACTCATTGTAAAACAATTAACACATTACAAGTAATGTGAAGGAGTGAAATAACAACCACAAGAGGTCCCGGGACAGAGCGTCACTAACCGATTAATTTGCAAAAATGCACGCACATCTTTGTCAGCGCATGCGTAGACAATGTTCACATCAATAGTGGACAGAAAATGCATGTTCTGTAATATTGTCACATTTACACAGTACTACAGAAGTGCCACTAATGCACACGTCATCTCTTTACAGATATAAAACTAAAAAAAGGTGACATGCATTTGCATTTTTCAAGTTTTTTCTGCAGATTCTGGCTCCTCCATCTGCTTACCCCAAACAGAAAGAGAAACTGCGCACATGTCTGCATGATTATAAAAAGGAGCTGTTCAACGATATGATGTCCGTCGCAAGTTGATGCTCTATTCTGTCCACTCTCTTTCTCATCTACGTGGGTTGAATCCATGTTTCTACAGAATGAACCTACTAGCCCTACAACACTTTCTAGTGAATTACCCCAAACACTTGCTTGAGCCTTAGAGGTCAACTCCTGCGATTTTTTTTTAGGTGAATAAATCAACAAAATTCAGTGGGTGCGTTCGTTTGCACCATTTATGCCAAACTACAGGCTTAAGAGTTCCACTCATTGTCTTCAAACGAAC